AATATATGTTTATCAAATAGTTTGTTAAAACTAATCGTGGATCCCTTTAAATGCACAAATGAATGTACAAGTAAAAGGAAAAACAATTAATACATACTTAAATAAACAGTAAATTTTAAATTATGTGTTTAAATATATAGACTAATTTATTGGAACTAACTCGGAAAAATAAATATGAAAGTCAATTAAAATATAAAACAAGAGGTTAAAGTTCTCCTTTTTTAATTAAATTGGTGCATTCAAAGTGTATTTATTTAGTGGTTCATGTAATTCTTTTATTTCTAATTATGTCAGTTTTGGTCCTCCGTACTGCAGAAGCCTGATAATCATCTGTTCATTGATATCAGGTGTGTTGAAGCAGAGAAACAAGTAAAACATGCAGGGCTGCGGCCCTCCAGGACCAGGATTGCCAATGCCTGGTCTAAACTCACTCTTTGGTGAACTAATGGTATTTTTTAAAGTTTTAACTCTGTTCTTTCCCGACATGAGATAATCCTAGTCCTAACATAGTCTTGTGTGTTTAGGTACCTGTGGGTTCGAATGCAGCAGGTGAAAGAGCAGATAGCRGAGCTCTCCAGGAAGCAGGCCTACCGTCCACATGACCCTCAATATGGCCGACTCTTCCAGGATCTCCAGCATTACCTCTGCAGTGTCGGACAGAGGTCAGCTATCCAGGAGCTGCTGTCCCACATGTTGAAGGTCCTGCAGAGCTCCTCCCACTCTGTAAAATCGAAGTCAGCAGTCCAGGCCCTGCTGAAAGAGGAGGCTGTGTGGCAGAAGTCCCAGCAGCGCTTCTGTCAGAAACTCATGGAGGACTACTCGTTGTACCCTGATGTGGTGGAGCCAGTCAGAACTGGCATCCTCCAGCTGCAGCATGGAATGAGGCTGGTGGCCTCTCAGGTGGCTACCTGTCTGACTCCTGTACCAGATCTGTCTAAGCTGGTCTCCTGCTTGCTGGCGTACCCCACAGTGTCCCGCAGTCTCCCATCCTATCTCCTTCGGGCGGACTTCCTGTGCTCCCAGGCTTGTGTTGATGTTCTGCACAGACTCGAGGAGCTCGTACCCCAGCACGGCCCTGATGACGTCATCCCTCAGTCGTCAGCTCTGTTAGTAAACGCCCTGCTGTACGTACAGTGCCACGCGCTGTCTATTGGAGAGTTTGGTCCTGAGGCGTGCAGCCTCTTCAGACACATCTGTCAGGTCAGAGATGTGACACCTTATTGTTAGTGTTGACTCAGCACGAACACTGTTTCTGTGCTTTTTATGTACAATTTTTTATTTAAAGGGATCCCCAATTAGTTATAACATTAGACTTTATTTAATTAACATATATTTTAACTGTAAAATAAAGACTGTAAAAATACTGTAGGATGTTAAGTATTTATCATTTTTAAACTAAGTTTAAAAATATATGATGATGTGGGTAGGTCATCGGTGCGAGGCTGCTAGCGAGCTATATCCACCCTGAAGGTTAATCCTGGACAAT